GCACCAGCGGGATGCTCGCACCAGAGCCCCGGGCTGGGATGCAACAGTTTAGCTCAAGTGTTATTGTCTGCTGAGATCTTCCCCTTTTGATTTTCTGATGCTTTTTTATTCCTCCCAACTTCTGGCAGGGGAAAGTTTGCAGGCAGAGGTGAGTGTTTCTACGGAGATCAAGCAGATCACTTGCAAGACATCCCTCCGAGCTTCTCCAGACGCGTTATTCACAGGCAGACATGGCACATCCACTTGGTGCAAGATCATTGCATCTCTCCTAGCCCCTATTTCTCCAGTTAACTTTTCTCCCCACCCGTCCCCTCCCCATTCAAATCCCAGCAAACACCTGTTAGACTCCAGCAGGGGCTGTCCAGTTGCAGGGGTTTTCTGGATCCTTTTCCCTCTTCTCCCTTAAGAAGAGATCCGAAGCAAGTGGTGATGGAGACACTGGGAGGAGATGCCGATGCCTGGAGCCTCAGCTGCCTGCTGCTGGATGCCTTGGGAAGCCTCTTCCCCTCTGCTCCTTACAGGTGCCGCTGCCAGCACAGACTCCCCTCCACGGAAGCGTTCAGCTTTTGCATTGCAACACTTGTCACCAGACAGTAAACAGCCAGAGCTCCCCTGATGCCTGGTCGCCGGCAGCTCAGCGCTGAGACTGCAGCCGCAGTAGTCCTCCGGCAGCAGATGCAGGCAACTCGCACACACCCCACGAGCTGTGCGCTGGATACAGAAATGAGGCAACGCAGCAAGTCCCTTATCACCACCCTCCTCTCCCTCCTCCTCCTCCTCTTCCTCCTCCTCCTCTCCCAAGCGAGGAAGCGAGCAGGAGACCTGCTCAGTGGCTCTTTGTGTGGGGAGTTGCAGGCAGCAAGGGGTCAGGGGCTCAGGGTGGGCAGAAGGAGCTGGTGCACCCCAGCTGCCCACCCTTGCCGGCCCTACGGGTGGTGGGTACCTGCTTTTGAGCGAGCTGCCTCCTGGGGAGGTGCAGACACCCAAACAAACGTGACTGCGATGAGCAAATAGCTGGCACCAGGTTTTCAGCAGCAGAGTGAGGACACCTGGCTGGCAGCAGGAAGGTGGTTTGGGAAGGCAGGCAGGGGGGCAGGCAGGGGAGCTCC